TGTTCCTCTTACGCTCTTATGGTTGTGTTTCTCATGACCTATAATGTGTTCCTCTTACGCTCTTATGGTTGTGTTTCTCATGACCTATAATGTGTTCCTCTTACGCTCTTATGGTTGTGTTTCTCATGACCTATAATGTGTTCCTCTTACGCTCTTATGGTTGTGTTTCTCATGACCTATAATGTGTTCCTCTTACGCTCTTATGGTTGTGTTTCTCATGACTTATAATGTGTTCCTCTTACGCTCTTATGGTTGTGTTTCTCATGACTTATAATGTGTTCTTCTTGCGCTCTTATGGTTGTGTTTCTCATGACTTATAATGTGTTCCTCTTACGCTCTTATGGTTGTGTTTCTCATGACTTATAATGTGTTCCTCTTACGCTCTTATGGTTGTGTTTCTCATGACTTATAATGTGTTCCTCTTACGCTCTTATGGTTGTGTTTCTCATGACTTATAATGTGTTCCTCTTACGCTTTTATGGTTGTATTTCTCATGACTTATAATGTGTTCCTCTTACGCTCTTATGGTTGTGTTTCTCATGACTTATAATGTGTTCCTCTTACGCTCTTATGGTTGTGTTTCTCATGACTTATAATGTGTTCCTCTTACGCTCTTATGGTTGTGTTTCTCATGACCTATAATGTGTTTCTCCTACGCTCAAATGGTTGTGTTTATGATGACATATAATTTTGATCTCTTACGCTCTGATGGTTGTGATTATGATTACCTAAAATTTGAATGAATGACGATTTTATGATGTAATTCTACAGCTCAGCATCAATACTTTGCTTTGTTTTGACGCCTGAACATTCAAATTTTCGTCTCCTGTAATCGTAGTGAGTCGTCTTAGTTTACGTTTCAGACGTGCGGTAATATCTGGTAATTTTAAGTCTTATTATAGTCTTTCACAATTTCAAAAAACCAATCTTGTTATGGCCTTTCATAACTTCAATCATTCAATTTTAAAAAAATATTTTCATCATTTCAACAACCCAATCTTAGTATAGTCTTGCACAATTTTCACCACCCAATCTTAGCATAGTCTTTAACAATTTCAACCACCCAATCCTACTTTAGTCATCCACAATTTCATCCAGCCAGTGTTATCTCCATTCATGGACGAAGAATAAAAGAGCAACAGGTTCAACTCTGTATCTCGCATGGCTCTATCAGTGAGATAAGACTAAGAAAATCGGTGGATGATAATAATAGGTCACGCCTTTCACTACTGGTGTCTCCATCCTCTAATTATCTTTACTTTTTTATATATTTAAAAAAAAATTCTTTAATAAGTCTTCAAATCCGTGATCGCGAACAAAATCGACCGTGTCCCTTATCGAAAACTGATTAAAATTGCCTGGCATTGTTGTCATTTGGCGCTGAATGCTCCTCCACGTTTCTCCCCATTGAGAAAACTTCCTGGTCTTCCTTTAACGATTTGGTTTCATAAATCTAAGCAAAACGTATTGTTGTGATTAAAGCATTGGACCAATCAAGGAGTAATATGGCGATTGTGATCTCAGACATAACTGTGCTTCTGTTGTTACAGTAACCCATTGTTGACACTTCCGGATTACACTTTCTTTTTTTCTTTTCTTTTGGAGTTTTTTTTTTATTTTTTTTTTTTTATTGCTATTATTATTATTTTCATTGTTATTCGAGTGGAGAATGCAATCAGAGGAACATATCTAATATCAATAGCGAATTAAAATAATTGCACGTGAAGTGTTTTGATACGCCTCGGGTAAATGTAGGCGTGTTGAATTGGGTTCGAACTATCGATTCATTTTCTCAAACGCAAGTACCAATACAGAGAAAACAAAATTATGTTGGGCAAATACACACAGTTGAATAAACACCAGACCAAAAAAACTCTCTTCATTATAGCTACATTATTTATTAGGCATCAAAGATGCAGATAGTTTCTAAGGGACCTGAAATGGAATATGTAATGTGTGCCATGATGGTAATCTGTGTCAGTAACTTGGTATGATGTCTGTGCGGCATTGGATTTTGGCATGTGATCGGTTATTGAAATGATTTCAATTTTTTATTTAAATCGACACATTAAAAATAATCAAATGATGACCTAACCCCCTCGGGGGGTAGGCAGGAGATCGATTGTTTCCTTTCTAATTTCTGAAGTTGATACAAGACTCCATAAGAGAGTAAGACGCTGCCAGTTTTTTGAAATAAGAGTTTTCCTGGCTGGAAATACGACCCCAGATGTTTCTTCTCATGGCGGCTATGAAAGGTGAAACAGACGTGTGTTGACAAAATATTTCCCCTTCACTGAATGTGAAAACGATAAATTGCAGTTCATTCGACTAAAATCTATAAGTAAGTTTACATTCAATCAGTATTTTTTTTTTTTGGGTGTCGTCAAATAGTTTCTTTGTTTAAATTTTTTGTTTGGTTTATTTTCTTCTCATTTTTTATAAAGAAGATTTTGTTCAAATTCAATTTACCCTACTGAGACTTGATGGTGAAATTCAATCAACCCTACTGAGACGTGATGATGACATTCAATCAACCCTACTGAGACGTGGTGATGACATTCAATCAACCCTACTGAGACTTGATGATGAAATTCAATCAACCCTAATGAGACTTGATGATGAAATTCAATCAACCGTACTGAGACTTGATGATGAAATTCAATCAACAGTACTGAGACTTGATGATGACATTCAATCAACCCTAATGAGACTTGATGATGAAATTCAATCAGCCATAATTAGACTTGAGGATGAAATTCAATCAACCATAATTAGACTTGAGGATGAAATTCAATCAACCATAATTAGACTTGATGATGAAATTCAATCAACGGTAATTAGACTTGAGGATGAAATTCAATCAACCATAATTAGACTTGAGGATTAAATTCAATCAACCATAATTAGACTTGATGATGAAATTCAATCAACCGTAATTAGACTTGAGGATGAAATTCAATCAACCGTACTGAGACTTGTTGATGAAATTCAATCAACCATACAGAGACTTAATGATGAAATTCAATCAACCCTACAGAGAATTGATGATGGAATTCAATCAACCCTGCAGAGAATTGATGATGAAATTCAATCAAGCATACTGAGACGTGAATATGAAATTCAATCAACCATACTAAGACTTGATGATGAAATTCATTCAACCATATGGAGACTTGATGATGAAATCCAATGAACCATGCTAAGGCTTGATGATGGAATTCAAATGATATCAAAGTGATGAATAGAAGGGCACCAGGGATAAAAGAAGACATTTTACTTAATAATACTTTTGTAAAACTATTATTTTCTAAAACTAAGACCATCGGTGAACGCTCCTTCTGCTTCCATGGGCCCACGTTCTGGAACCAGCTCCCCTTCCATATACGTCATAGTGAAACCTCGTCCATTTTCAAAAAGTCCCTTAAAACTCATCTGTTTAGTCCTATGACCTGTGATGCACCCTCCTTGCCCTACCTAATTTTCTGTTTCGGTTTAATCCTGAAGTGTCAAAGTGTCCTCTTTTTATAGCCATTTTCATTGTTTCTATAGAATAGTAGTTACTATCCTAGTGTCTCATTTGTATTTACTTAGTTTTAATAATTGTAAAGCGCTTAGAGCTTTATGATAAGCGCTATATAAAAATGCCTAAATAAATAAATAAATAAATATATATATAAATTTATTTGTTTATATATTTTATATACATATTCTATATATATTAGAGAATGTGCTACTTTTTAAGATGATTACTCCATGTACATATAAACTGTCATTTCCGTGAAATTTAACAATCAGTAAAGATGTTAAAGCTCCAAAATGCAATCGCTCCACTTGCTTCACTATTACAACTGGTTTTGTGGAAAACATATAGCGTAACATATGCAGACAGGTATATTACAATGTGGTTCATATTTGAAAACCGTATTTTATAATTACCTGCGTGGGGAATATTTTGATCTTGATCTAAACACTTGTAGCAGGACACAGTTATTTTAACTACATGACTTATGAATTAATAGACCAATGAAGTTTGACTGAGAGAGAGTAAGAAAGAGAGAAAAGGAGAAAAGAAGAGCGACAAAAGAGTGAAAGAAAGAGAAGGAAAGCACAAAGACAGAGAGAAAGAAGGAGTAGAGAAGGTGACAGAAGGAGGACTGAGATAATAATAATAATAATAAAGTTCATTTCAAAAACACGCTTCATCCCCAAAGGCTCAAAGCGCGGTACAAAGTCAACAAAAAACAAATCTATAGTTTACCACATTTAAAACAAACGCAACACTACAAAAACTAAGTACAAGCATACAATGGCAAAGTCTTTCTAGATGAAGAAGATAGAGAAAAAAGAGAGACGGGGAAAGAGAGAGACAGAGAGTTAAAATGTAAAATAATAGCATAAAGGAGAAGACTACCAATGTCTAATTAATTTCTCATCTAAGATTCATCTTTCAATTTAAATAAAAACAATTTTTTAAATTTAAACATTAAATGTATTTCGTTTTATTTATTTTTTTTGGGGTTGATCCCTTATGTCGTCGTTTTGAAAAAGAAATGAGTATTATTTATTTTTTTTTATATTCTCCCCGCGTATTTAAAATTTGTAAAAAGTGATTTCCGTTTAAAACATGTAAATTTCTACAAACGTTATCATTAATATGTGTAGATCATACTTTATTTTAAAAGCGTTGTTAATGAAATTAATGAGATTTGAATGAAACTAAAAAAATTTTTGTTTTGAAATTAAATGAAAACACTATAAGCATGACATATAAAATAACTAAAAAATATCCATTTCATTACAGGACACGGACAGTCTTCAAAGGAACAGGACAGTCTTCCATCATGAACTTGAGTTTCCATGTCGAAGTCAACTTGGAAAAAAAAGAGGAAAGACCATCATTAAATGGGTCAACAGGAAAGAACAGCACTTTCTCCACCGCACTACCTGGCGACTACTGGCTGGGCAAGAACATATGTGACTACCTGGATAACATCACGGACATCGAGGTGAGGATCACGTGCGGCACTGACCTCTACCTCCCGCCATTTTTATTCGTCTTTGGCGTGATCAGCAACATTTTCGTTATAATCGTCATGCGCAGTAAGGCCTTCCGGTCTATCTCTACTTCCTTCTACATGACGGCCAACGCCGTGACGGACGCCACCAGCTTACTGATCAACCTTCCCGTCCATTACATCTTCGTCAACTTTCACCAGGTGTTCCGCAACGCCATGCACGCCCACTACATGTGTTCATTTTTCAACGTCTTGGGCTGGGGCAGCAGCGACCTGGGCATATTGTTCACAGTCGCCATGACGACGGAGCGCGCGATCGCCATCAGGTACCCACTGCGAGCCTACAGGCTGTGCACGACACGCCGGGCGATGATGGTTGTGATAGGGTTGACCATCTTCGAGCTCCTTAAACTTTCCCACATGGCGTACAAGTCGAGGGTCGTGGCCAACACGACCAGCAGGCTGTGCGACCTCAACACGGACAACCCGGATTATGCGAATTTCGTCGAGTACATTTGGCCGTGGATCCATTTTTCTATACTGATGGTAAGCTATGTCCTAGTCATGGCCGGCAATGTCGTCATACTGGTCAACATTAAAAAATCGAGCAACGCCGCAGCCACGAACGGCGTGGGTCGTAAAACGGTCAGCAAGGAGTCCAGGTCCGCCGCAAAAAACCGCCAACTCTCCATCATGTTGGTTCTGGACTCCTGCTGCTTGATCGCGTGCACACTTCCGTACGGCATCGTCATCATTTTGACCACAAGGTTTCCCGTCCTGAAAGATTCTCTGGGTGGTAAGAACCTGGCCTACACGTCGACGTTCTACCTGCTCTACATCAACCGATGTTTGAACTTTCTCCTCTACTGCATCAGTGGAGCAAGATTTAGGGAAACCATCAAAAACATGTTCCTCCATCCGTCAACGCTAGGGAATTCAGGCGGGACAATCAAACGTGAAAATCGATCGGAGAGGAAGGAGAGTATCAATCAGGCCAGAGGAGAGGGTGACCGGGTCATGACCAAAAATAGACGGTCGCCGTTATCTCGTGATGGCAGACGGGAAGTTGAGGAGAATCTTGTTATCTCCTCACAGAACATGTCTAGAGTTTTGTCTGCTTGCCATTTGGAAGCCGTAGAAGAGTACGGAGATGCAAGCCGTGGAACGCATTCTTATCAGAGCTCGGGTATCACCAATGTGTCTTTTGTGCCGGAAATGGATGACCCAAGACCAGGAGAGTATCTTGATAAGGGGGGTGATAGTATGTCAACGGAACCGATATTTTCAATATCGACCTCCAACAGTTTAAATAACAATTATGAAGATAGGAATTTTATTTGAACGATGTGGTTTCTTTGCATAACATGAGACTGAGATTTAATAAGAGTGTAGCTTGGTTTAAAATGGTGGTATTTATCCAGCCTGTCATGAGACTGAGATTTAATAAGAGTGTAGCTTGGTTTAGAATGGTGGTGTTTAGCCAGCCTGTCATGAGACTGAGATTTAATAAGAGTGTAGCTTGGTTTAAAATGGTGGTATTTAGCCAGCCTGTCATGAGACTGAGATTTAATAAGAGTGTAGCTTGGTTTAGAATGGTGGTATTTAGCCAGCCTGACATGAGACTGAGATTTAATAAGAGTGTAGCTTGGTTTAAAATGGTGGTATTTAGCCAGCCTTTCATGAGACTGAGATTTCCATAAAAGTATAGTTTCGTTTAGAATGGTGGTATTTAGGCAGCCTGTCATGAGACTGAGATTTCCATAAAAGTATAGTTTTGTTTAGAATGGTGGTATTTAGCCAGCCTGTCATGAGACTGAGATTTCCATAAAAGTATAGTTTCGTTTAGAATGGTGGTATTTAGGCAGCCTGTCATGAGACTGAGATTTCCATAAAAGTATAGTTTCGTTAAGAATGGTGGTATTTAGCCAGGCTGTCATGAGACTGAGATTTCCATAAAAGTATAGTTTCGTTTAGAATGGTGGTATTTAGGCAGCCTGTCATGAGACTGAGATTTCCATAAAAGTATAGTTTCGTTTAGAATGGTGGTATTTAGCCAGCCTGTCATGAGACTGAGATTTCAATAAAATTCGTTTCGTTAAGAATGGTGGTATTAAGCAAGCCTGTGAATACTCAATCGTGTTCAGTAACATATTAATTTCGAAATATTTCGTTTTTCTATCAAGATGTTAAATGTTCTGAGTTTCTTTTTTTTTATTTTAAGTGAACATTTCATTACAACATACGCTTATTTTAATGTGTAAACATTGCTCTGAAAAAAATTTTTATTGCCATATTTTATAAACAAAATAAGAAAGTTTCAAAAATTAGAAATGTAAAATTTAGAAAAGATCAGATTGAAATATATTTGTAAAACAACATATTTTTGTTTAAAATAAATAATATTTTTTTCTGTCAACATCTAAAACTCTTTTCATCTAAAACAAAGTAAATCCATTCGTTTACCTTCATTTTTAAAAATTCATGTGTCTAAATCTTATGTTGTAATGCACAAAGCACGGTATCGCCTTAAACGTCCACAAAGGAATAGATAAAGGACGTGGCTGTTGAAAATATTTAAAATAATATTTTTTAAAATTTCATTTGTTACATTTTTTTATTTTTTAAATTTACTAAAACGCTTTCCCAGAAACATCGATGCATAACTTAACCTTCAACCTTTACATTTTGTTTCTTCTTTTAAACAATTGTTTGCTTTATGAAATGGAAATTTCCTTATTGTCTGGGCAAAAAAGAACTTACACGTCTTTGGAATGGTTGAAACATTGTTAACCATTACAGAAAACACATGACTTATGTCTATTTAACACGTTGATTCGTTTATGTCAAATCTTAAATAAATGTTTAAATGTTGCTACACTATTACAACCGAGTAAATTAATCAAAACTATGTTCACCGTTAACGTATTTGGTGGATATTGACACGTGACCAACTATAACAGAAAACTTTCTTCGTTTCATTTAACAACTAAGTTAATCCTCACATCGAATTGTACATAATGCAGGAAGTCTGGGCTGTCTTCTTTGAAATATGCATCGAATCTCATTAACATAAATATTCTTATAAAAAAAATAACAAAATCAATTGCTTTCCAAAAAATTTTTCAAAATTTATTGTTTTGCAAAGATTGATTACAAAATTTATTGGTTTGCAATGAGTGTTTTTAAATCGTTTATTTGATTTATTTTTTTTTAAATATTTAATTTCCTTTTTTTTTTTTTTATATCTATTTATCTTGATGTTGTTGACGCTATCATTGTTTTTTGTTTTTTTTGGTTACCGCCATGAATAAATTATGTTTAAGTTAATGATGTTTTCTTTGTGAATAATATTTATAATTGTGATTAAATTTATTTTTTTATTTTTTTTTTTTTTTTTTTTTTTTTTTAAATATTTAATTTTTTTTTTTTTTTTTTTATATCTATTTATCTTGATGTTGATGACGCTATCATTGTTTTTTGTTTTTTTTGGTTACCGCCATGAATAAATTATGTTTAAGTTAATGATGTTTTCTTTGTGAATAATATTTATAATTGTGATTAAATTTATTTGTGTATGTGTTATATTTATAATTGCCGTTGGATTGCAGTTGATAACAAAGACGAACACGTTCAATTGTTTCGTTGTCTGTGGTAATTCGATTATTTGACAAAGCAATGACTCAATGACTATTGTTTCTTTATTAAATAAAAAAAAAATAATTGCTAACACTCCATTACTTCTGCTCCATCCAGAGGCGTAGCGAGGGTGTTTGGCGCCCGCAGACAAGATTCGCGCCCGGGGACAAGATCCATTTTAAAGCGCCCCCTTTTCTTTTTTTCAACTCTCAAACCCATTATTTTCACCAATAATCTAATATCAAAGCACATTTATGGCGTCCCTAACCAGCTTGCGCCCGGGGATAACTGTCCCCCCTATCCCCCTCGCAACGCCCCTGTCTCCATCACTGTTATCTAAACAAAATATTAAACAACCTGATATACCATACCCATATACGACACACAAAAAACTAAGCATAACGCTATAGCTACACAAGAACTCTCAGGACCAAACGCTACCTTCAAACTCTAAAAAATTATTAACAGTAATGTTTATTATATTTTGTGTTCTTTTTATTTCACTTTTTTCCCAGTTATTTTTTCCATCATAAAGTTTTTAAAGAAAATAATAATAATTGGGATTAACTTTAATAATTTCAAATGGTAAAAATGCACAAAAAAAGCTTCAAAAAGTAAAATAATTGTGCACAATGTTGTTAGAAAGAACATATTCTCTTTTTCACAATTATTATCCGTAAAATATACCCACGTTGATGTCAGTGAAATGCGACTTTCGCAAATGTCATGTTTATGACAGTAAAATGTTGCATTTGATACCCGCAACATAAGGCCTCGCTTATGACAGTAACATGTGGCATCGTTCAATTCTACAAGATGTTTAGCATTTACTTTGACAAACCAGCATGGCGTGGAAAGTTACCAAATGTATATAAAATCAAGAAATCTAATTATTTTTTTAACCATGTACTGAGTAATAACAACTATAACCAAAAAAAAAACGACATGTGTATTATATAAGGGATTAAACTGTGGTGAAAAAGCTTGACATTGTCTTAACAAGTCTTGAACTTAGACTCCTTGTTTGATGCATAAATATGATTTACGTTATACTTTACCCGTTTTAGCAAACTCCAATAGAATTCTTTACTTACACCATTTTTATTATTAAAGCCCACATTAAATGAAATGAAATTATGCCACGAATCACACAAAAGAAGGCTTTTTTATGTATTTATAAAATAATTTACATTGAATCTATTTGAATACATTTAAAAATAAAACAAAAATCATCACTTGATCATCTAGTGTGTAAGTCTTTAAAAAAACTGTTAATTTATCAGAATTATCTGACCATTTATTTATCCAAGTGGTTTCAAGGAAACCAAATGTTTGAAGAACTTCCAGAAGAGCTCTCCATGGAAACTTCGGATTCGGGCACATTTTCCAATTTGATAATGCAAAGACAGGCACATTTTGGTGGATGAAAGCCTCTATACGTCGTTTAATTGATTGACATCTGATCATATCCATATATTTTTTTTAAAGAAATCAACTGTTTGAAATCAATGAAGTCTTAAATCACTCACATCAACGCCTTTGTGTGATAGGCGCTTCAAAGGATGGTGTCATTACTTCACTGCAGTGACCTGGTACTGTACTCTTAAACATTTGATGATTTGATTTAATGAGCTGCCTCAAAAATGTGTAGGTTTGTTTTCTTTCAAGGTGTTCTTTCTCTTATTAGAATTGCCTGTATAATACTATCGTCAGTGGATGGCGTTCAATGCCACAGGTTTATTTGGTACGGACAGTGTCCTATTCTCACGCAACTGATGTAATCTGTTATCGTCCATTGGTCGAACGCTCACACGGCTTGGCTTTGATAGTGTGTCATGGAATCGATTGAAAGGGAGGGAACGCGTTGCAGGGGCAAACAAGTCAGGTAACTCCGGTGTATTTTCGTATACTTTCAAAAAAAATTGGTTGTCTGCCTTTAGTGTTCATTTTATTGTTTAAGTGTTTGTAACATGATGTGATTAATTTACATACTGGGCGGGAGATTGATATCCATTGAAAAGTGCATTAACCCTGGAGATGGGTATCCATGAGAAGGTATATTACCTCTATCAATTAGACGGTGCATTTACAGCCGGAGACTGATATCCATTAGACAGTGCATTACCTCGATCCATTAGACTGTACATTTACCACTGGAGTTAAGTATCCATTAAACGTTATATTACCTATGAAGATTGGTATCCAGTATAGACGGTAAATGTGTTTATAAAATTAATTTTAACTGCTACTGATATGACCTAGGCATTAGACCTAGA